TAATTTTGACAATCCCCCAAATATTGCGTCTGCTAGTAACACTGCAGGCTTGGCCCCGAACGAATTCAGCATCTGGGAGTGGCCCAAACTTGGCTGAAACTCGATGGAGCATGGCCTGGAGATTTGCTGGATTTTTGGGGGGGGCATTCCATGAGGAGTTGCTCTAGGTTGGCCCCTAAAACCCTTGAAAAACATTAGTATATATGGTCCCCTATTAAAGCCATTAGGGAAAATATCAAATATCCCCGGGGCCTACCCAGCGCTGCATCTTGCTGCTGAATCTGTCCGCGCGGCCATGGTGAGACGATTTCGACTCTGGAAGCCTGGCTGCTCGTCGGAGATGAAGACCTCGAGCACACTCGGCGTCTCTTGGTGCCATGTTAAGCTGCCTGTCACTCTTAGCCTAATAAAACCCCAATGAGTACCCCAATATAACAATATATACCCTAGTAGAATGTTTTAGTTTCCATTTTCTCTTTCCATTATCCCAATATATACTCTATTATGTTATATTAGGATTTGCTTGGTACTGTTTCGGGCATTCAGATCACTGCAGATCTACTGTGACATTGTGGGAATCCATAGCAATTCCTGGGAACCAGCAGTATGACGCAGTACCTATAAGTAACTATGTACGCCGCAAACGCTGGCCAACTCCCAAAGCCTTTGTCTATCAAGGCCTGGCCTGCCCGTTCTTGATCTGCACGACAAAACACGCCTGAGGCCAGATCTTTGCTGTGCAACTGTGGGATCAAGTTCGCATGACTGCTGACTCACTTAATTAAGCACTTCCATGACCCGTCGCAGGCCTGCCCGTTCGAGCGACACAGGTTCTTCGCTCGTTGCGCATCCCATGCAGTGAGCTGATGAAAAGGCGCGAAGTCGCGCTCCGCCTGCCTCAGCGAAAAGCTTTGACAGGGTAACCAAAAGCTTGGAGGAGGCAGCAGGTATATTATGAGTGTTAGATAGGGATGATGGAAAAGACAATGGATACTATTGTATTCTTATAGGTGTTATATAGGGATAATGGAAAAGAAACCATCGAAAGGGGAAGAAGGCTCGCAAGTACTATAATTGAGCATCCCTGACATGACAAGATGCGTTTGCCTCCCTAGACGTTCAGCCCCGCTGCTGGAAACACGGAACAGATATGGAAACATCGGAATCCCTGCACCTAGGCGCTTTACCATTTTCCCTATACAACACCTATGTAACGGAGTAGTTTCCATGTTATTTTCCATTGACCCTATATAACACCTGTAACAATACAGTAGTTTCCATTGTCTTTTCCATTATCCCTATATAACACCTATAACAATATAGTAGCTTCCATGTTCTTTTCCATTATCCCTATATAACACCTACAATAATATAGTAGTGGATTCCGATCTGTGCCCAGCAAGCCGAGATACTCGAAGAAGTTGTCATTGAAGATGCTGCACCTTTGCACGCTTGCAAGCTGGGCTGGCTTGTCCCAAAACCTGGCCCTATTTCAATATTATACCCTATAATTCCTATATATAACCCATTATAGTGATATACCCTATAATCCTTACATAGCCCATTATAGTGGTTTCCATTCTATTCTCCATGCAAGGTTTTTCTACCAAGCTCGATACCTCTCAGGCCACTCCGCCGCTGTGGGCAGCAGCAGACCGAGGAGCGCCCACATGGCAAGCTTCTCATGATATGAGCTATAGTCTAAA